AGTCATTTGTGCAATTAATGTATTAATTTCATCTTCATACAAGTTCATTTTCAATATTTTGTCGGTTGATACTGAAATATGGCATAGTAGAATAAAGTAGAAGGTGAAAAAATAAAAGTAGAAATTCGTATTGATCACTGTAGCAAGATTTTAAGAATTTTCTGCCAGTTTGACTTGTGAATTGTTAATCTTTAAGATGTTTTAGAATCTACTGTATAAACATGCAGAACGTACTGTTAATTGATTGTATTTTTAGATCATTTTTTTGTTTTCTATCTTTTGTATTTGTGTGCTTTTTTTTCTTTATTGATAGTCGTGCATTTTGCGTTAGACCGGGCAGATTCAATACGACTATATTGTATTTCTATTGACTGGCTATTAGCTAGTTTTTGCATGTTCTTCCATTTTTGGTAAATAAAGTTTAAGTCCAAGTTCAAGTTCAAAGCTTGTATTCGCTTTTTGAAAAATTTATCCAGAAGAAGTCTTTGTAACCCGGAATATCGGATTTCTACAAGGTTATTATTATCAGCGACAAAATATAAGGCAGGGTGTTATTTTTTGAATAAGTTAAAGACGGTTAAAGATAGAGATCTGCAGTTTTCGGCAGTTGAAAGAGGACAGTTTAGCACATATTTTCATGGACAGACACGAGTTTTGAACAAATCTGTGAAATTCAGAGAATCTCCAGAAAACCAGTTTCTAAGCGAACAATTTTACACAGCAATCCATCGATTGTTTTCGTAGATAGATAATTCAAAGTGTCTTCTACAAAAGAATGCCCAAGCAAAAGTTTTATTTTGCTTGGTTTGGGAGCTTCGGAAGTTTTTTTCGGAGCCCTAGGACTTCTCTATTCTTCGCTCTGGAGCTTTCAGAAATGCATGAAAACATAGATTAGCGACCATGCTGGATCACGTGGCAATGTTAGTTTTCAGAGCAAAATGCATAACCCCATTGAAAATCTATACTAGGTAAAAACACCCAGGTAGTAGTATTTTTTAGCCTTGCCACTGATTGTGGCTCAACGAAGCACAATAGAGAAAAACTTTTGTTGACAAAAGTCGTGTCAAATGGGGTAGTGAGTACTTTTTAGTAAAAGCTGGAACCAATCTGAATAATGTCTTGAATAGCCTGAAGATTTTTCTATTAGATGAGGTGCATATCGCCCTTCCATGAGAAAATTTGATAATAGAGCTTCTGGACAACCTGACTGCTGAGAAACCAAGTCCTTAGTTTTGGGTTAGAAAATTTTGCAATCCATATTGCTGGATAGAGCGAAGAATTCTGAATAAAATATCTCCCGGCATTCTGTAGTACTTTTTCACCGGAATATTTTGGTAACTTTCACGCCCTTTGTAGCTAGTGGTAAATCGACTGCAGTTGTGTGAAAAACCAGGTTAGGTTGTCCAGAAGCTCTGTTATCAAATTTTCTCATGGAAGGGCGATATGCACCTCATCTAATAGAAAAATCTTCAGGCTATTCAAAACATTATTCAGATTGGTTCCTGTTTTTACTAAAAACTCAAAAACAAGGAAGTTCTTGTGACTATGACACACTGTACTGCTTAGATAACGCCAAAAAGCTTCTTTTCCACATCTTTAATGACTGGCCCCACCTGTCTGGATATTGTGACCAGCTCACTTTGTAGAGAATTTCAAGGGCTATCCAATGGTATGTTTTCGAACAATATATAATTTTTCGTTATGGTAGAAAAACGACAAACGGAGTGTTCAAAGCACTAAGATAGGTGAAAATCATTATATCGGCTAGGTATTTCAACTATTGGCCAATGTGGGCATATTTCTGAAAGACGTATTCATATCTCATTTTGAAGCTCATGAAATTCTCTATCGAATAACATATAAAGTGAAGTAATTCACGAGAAAATCAATGGATATTATAAACATGAACGACGTTGATCTACCGGTTTGCTGAGATGCCACTGAGTATTTCGGAGTCTAGACTACCCAGTTACATTATCGTAAAATTATCCTATATATCATTTTGTAGCTCGTGAAATTCTCTATCGAGTGATGTGTAAAGTAGAGTGGTTAACGAGAACATTAGTCACCGTTATAAACATGAACGACGTTGACCTTCCGGTTTCCTGGGATGCTTCCGAGTATTTTGGATCTTAGAGTACCTAGTTACATTTTCTTAAGGCTACCTCATATCTCATTTTGTAACTCGTGAAATTCTCTATCGAACGGTGTATAACAGTTGATATTTGCTCTGGGTGAAACAGGTTGAATAATGTAAATACTTTGAGTAAACGTCGTTTAACGCGAGAAGAGTTTTTTTTGCTAAAATGTTTCCAGGAGCGCTGAGAAGGCTTTTTAAGATTTAAAAATGTGTTAGCGTTAATCGTGGATAAAAACTGCATCGAATGAGTTAACGTAAGACTGATTTGAGCGTGGGCCGATCTTGCCTCTTATCGTCCCCCGTCCTTTCTGTATACTTTTAAAAGCTAAAAAAGATGGGAAGAACATGTCTGGGAGGTTCAAACGTCTCACCATATATGTAAGTCGACATGGGCAACAAAATGATGTCAAAAACCAGAGGGATCCACTCCCCCTCCCTTAAGTCGTTTTAACCGACATAATTATTAGTTCAGAAATAATCGAGAGAATCGATAAATCGATGCGATTAGCGCTACTTGGCGTCAGATGTGTTGTTAAGAGTTCACAAAGCAGACAATTGCATGTAATACACGGTTGGTCTTAACACATGGGATCTTTAATTATCATATACAGTGAAAAGTAGTCGTGTAATCTAAAAAAAATAAATCTTCTAGTTTTTCAGTGCTCATAAGAGAACTGAAATTTATTAACAGTTTTCGACTGATAGCAAAAACAACAACACTCTTTTCTCCAATAAACACATACACAAATATATACATGAAATAATAAGCACAGAATGAATACAAATTCAAAAATTCTGTTATAGAAAAACGTAACATTTGTTCAACAGAAATGTTTTATAAAAAGTCAAATTAAATTAATCACTCCATCTACTTTTTTTCGTTTTTGACGATGGATCGCTATTGTCACTTGAATCTTTATTGTTTTGTGTACGTTTCTGAGTGACTGAACTAGGTACAGCCACTGAGTTTGCTTTACGAAAACCTGTATCATGAGAACTGGCTGCAACCTGGAAAACAAAATAAATGATGAAAAATAGACATCGACGAGCAATTGTATTACGTACAAAACTTGACTTAAATTGTTGTTGAAATGCTTGTTTCATCGCGGCTGCTCTGTCTCCTCTTCCACCGCTAATTGAGCCTTGTGATCCCATTCCTCTCCAATCAGCCATCGGACCAGCATTCGGCTATATGAAAAGACAACAACACTCACAATCCTCTATATTAAAAGTCAATGAAACATACTCTTGTCCCAATATAAGAAAATGGACTCGATGATGATGATGATGATGATGATGAAGTTTGACTAGTAACAGTGGTTGTTGATCCAAATCCAGGGCGCTCACGTTGTTGTAGACGATTGTTATCAATGCGTTTACCAGTACCTTGTTTAAAACGCGTGTTATTAAAACGGCTGTTCTACAATGTACGATATAAACAAAGATATTTGTGAAAGAATAGCACAAATTAATTGACTTACTTGCATTGCTAAATCGATCAATTCTTGCGGTACAAATTGATTAACGCCTTCTAGATTGCGTACTAGGTCTAGTAGAAAAAGTTAATTTTCTATGATCGTAGTAATTGATTTTGAGAAAGTGTGTGTACCTGGTGCAAAGTCAGTATCATTCGGTGTTAACAATGTATATGCCGTTCCCTTTTCACCGGCTCGTCCTGTTCGTCCAATACGATGTGTATGAGTATCTATGTCACGAGCAACATCGTAATTAATCACTGTACGAATAGATGGAATATCCAAACCACGAGCTGAAATAAAGCAAAATTAATTGTACAACAACTTCAATTTAATATTCAATTAGTTAAAACACCTGCAACATCTGTTGCCACTAAAATTGGCATATCACGCTTTTTAAAATCACTAATCACTTGATTTCTGTCCATTTGAACCATATCACCATGAATCAAACCAGCTAAAAGAGAAAAAAAAACGAATTATTAATAAAAATTTTGATAAATCATGCACCTTTTATCGATTGTACTTACCATTGTAACCATTTTCTTTTAAATTTTTAGCTAATTCTGCGCAGTTGTCTTTTCTTGTTACAAAGATAAGCACTTTTCCTGCTAAATAATATCACATTTCATTCAAGATCAATTAACAAACCAAAATTAGTTTGAAGATTTACTCACAAATAGTAAATTCTACTAATTTTGATGTCAGCCATATCCATTTGCTTGGTCCGTTTTGTACTACTTGAACTATCTGTATTACATCTTGATTTGCCTAAAAATCAATGACGATAAGATAGGAAACTACTCAAATTGTTTATCTTTTGATATTTACCTCACCAACTTCACCCTGAACAATACGTATTGGATCATTTAATATATCACGTGCTGAAGTGACATGAAAAGTATAATCAACAAGATTATATGAACAAAACTCGTGAATCCTACCTAATCTCTCTATTTTTTTTCTAAACGTTGCACTAAATAACAAACATTGACGATCTGGACGAACATGATCGGCAATTGAGCGTACTTGTGGCTCAAAACCCATATCAAACATACGATCAGCTTCATCGAGTACCATATATGTAACCCGGTTTAAATTCGTACCTTTTTTCCTGACTAAATCAATAAGACGTCCCTAGAAAAAAAGATAATTTCTGTATTTTCCAACATCATCTCTATTGAATCTAAGATTGCATATGACATAACCATAAAAATATAAAGAATGAGGAAAAGGAAAAGCTCACCGGTGTACAAACAAGAATCTCACAGCCTTCTTTACATGCTAATGTTTGCTCATGTAGTCCGCCTCCTCCAAATGCACACACAGAATTAATGTTATACGGTTTGCCAAACTTTTTACATTCAAGATGTATTTGTTGAGCTAATTCACGTGTAGGCGCACAGATTAAAACAATTGGCCCATCCCCTTCTTCAAGTTGTTTCTAAAACCAAGGAATAATTTAACAAAATTTAGTATTTAATTCGTTTAAAAATCATACCTGATCCATTATATGTGCAATTGCTGGCCATACAAACGCTCCAGTTTTACCACTTCCAGTTTTTGCAATGCCAATCACATCTCGACCCATTAAAATACTTGGTATTGCCTAAGATGTACGAAAAGACTTTATAGTAATGCAGGTTCAATTGATCAACTGTGGTTAACATAATCTATTATAAAAACATCCGAGTTATTTTTGACAAAAAAGCATTCAACAAATAGACGTTAATCAACTCAAACATCAGATAAGTTTTACTTTAAAGAGAAAAAGTTTGAAAAGCTCTGAAAAACTGCATGACTTGCGATAGTAAGAATATCGATGAAAGAAAGTAGCAGTTCTTTTGGTTAATCTTATTACCAAAAAACACACTGACTTGAGCCTGTATTGGTGTCGGCGATGTAAAGTCTGATTTACGAATTATTTTCATTAATCGTTCATCAAAGCCAAAATGTGCAAAACTGGCAACTGGTTTTGGAATTGCGGCACCAGCAACCTATACACAAAAAATAAAATATATACAATAAGAAGTAGGAGTATTGATAACAATTACATTCACTCCATGTTTCAGACGTAATGCTTCGACTTGATCATTTGTTAATTTTTTAATTTCTTCATGTTCAACATAAAAGTTTTTTACAAATGGTAAATAAGTAATTTCAGAATGATCGATTGGTGGTAACGGGTCAATATACTATAAAATAGGAATAAGAAAACTTTATTTATGACAATTATACAAACAATAAAAAAAGAAAATAATATATTTACTTTTGACTTTTCTGGTAAAATTAAATTTCCATCATCATCGTAGTCAAGCTCACGATCCATGTCGTCATCATCTTCTAGTGGTAGACCGGCATTTGGATTCTCCTCTAACCAACGAAAATATGATTCTTGATCATCTTCTTGTTCAATATCTTCTCTTGTGCCTCTAAATAACAGTTAGTTCGATCCTTATGACAGTGGAGTAAAAAAATAAACAAGACAACTTACTTAATCGCTTTTTTATCTTTCTTTTTTCCTATACTTTGTAGATCTCTTTTTGCTTCACTTTCAATTGAACTCATAAATTGATCAAGTGGATCATCTTCTTCATCCTCGTTTTGATTCGCATTTCCATTATCATCATCATCACTCTCTACCTGTTTATAACCCGGACTTCCAGGTCCTGGTTGATATGGAAGATCATCGTCATTCGCGGAAACTTTTTTGGGTGGAGGAATAATCGGTCTGTGTTGAAGATGAACAGTAGAAGGATGTGAATACTGTGATTTGGATGTTGATATTGAACTTTTATGCATGTCTTCTTCGACTTCGCCAGAATCAAAATATCTATGAACACACAAATGTTCACATTGATGAACGGAAAGATAAATATAATGAAAATATTGAGCACAGATCAACAACTCACTCTTCTTCTGTTCTATGTTTTTGTGTATTTGCTGTGCCATAATACTGAACACTCGCACGTAATCCGGTTGGTAATGGAAACAGCGCTTGTAAGCGAGGATCAGTTGAACGATCTTTTTTCGATGTCGACATTTTATATCTACAATAAAGTAAATTTTTCTATAAATTTAACCATCACAAAAAATCTGGTAAAATCATAACAAAAGAGAAAAATCAAGTAAAATAAAAGTTTTTACTAGTAAAAGTTTATATTCACGATTCAACACAATGCAACGGCATGATTCCATCGATGCCAGATTTGAAGTCAAATGTATACTTTTTGTCATCAGGCATTTTAAAAATCGCTCGATGATTGTGTGTAGTATCATCAATTGAAATAGGAATACATAAATCATAATAAATCGATGCTATCTCTTCAATCCATGATTCCATACATGTACATGAATTAATTAAAATCAACTTTTCTTTTTTTAATTTCTTAACTAATTGAGAATATTGAGCTTTTATTAATGCAAAATCAGATGAAAATTTATATATAGAATCATCTAGCTGTGGTGTAAATGTTTTATCAGAATAATGATCATAATAATCATCGATAATTATTACATCAGGATAAGTTAGAGGTGTTGCCTTCTTTGAATTACTTCCGATAGATGTTAAGTGATTGTAAAGTTCAGATGTCGAATGTGGATAGTGGAACTGAATTAATTGCAGTGATGATTCTGTCGCTTCAGGCATTGAATGAACACCTAACGGAACGGTTTGCAATGGAAATGGACAATAATAATAGACTTTTTTGCCAATAGACGCATAAGAAACGGCTGCCTGAAATAAAAGTTCGGTTCTACATTGATCGATATCACCCATAAGCAAACAAGTTCCAACAAATGATTTACTATCCATATAAATATCGTCTTTTGTAAAGGTATCAAAAAAATTCGAGACTGGAAACATTGAACATAGAATATTCATCACAAATGTATCTAAAGAAACAAAAGGGCATTCTGGACAAAACGATTTCTGTGATTCTACGAGTTTTATCTCAAAGATAAAAGTAGACGCTGGAACCAAACTATTGTATTCTTGATTAGAAATAATTCTACAACCATGAGTTCTTTATCTTGCAAAGTGACTTCAGCTACCAAAACAAAGATGGAATGGATAAAGTTTAATTTTTTTCAGGATATAGACAAAAATAGTTTAAGTGATTGATTGTCACTACCTATTTTGAAAATTTCAACAAATCATGTGAATAGCTTTCTAATTGGTTTATCTAGTTATGGCGAGGGCGTCCATTTTTCGTTGCCGTACGTTAGCGCCGTGATAATCTTTCTTTAGCAATATCAAGAGTTCAAAATTTTTTAACATAAAAAGCTGGTACTTTGAAGCTTTGCTGTAAAAATAGAAAACATTGTCTAAATAAAGAATATTCTGAAATCTTTAGCTTTTGAGTCCAGTAACATAGAACAAAACTCTTATTTTCAAGCGGAAGGTAGTACCCTAGTGAATGTACTCAAGTGTGAGTACTCAAAAAGTACTCCGCTAGAAAAACCGGACGAGTACTCATACGTTTTTTTACTCACTGAGTACTCACCTGAGTACTCATGAGTGAGTAACAAGTACTCTGAGTACGACTTTGAGTACTCATGCTTGGGTATTGTTGAGTACTCATACCACTTTCGGCAAAATACTCATGA